AATAACCTAGATGCACCTCACCCAAAGAATGGATAAAGATTTTTTGGTGCATTTACACAATGCAGCATTACTCAGCTGCTAAAAACCAATGACATCAGGAAGTTTGATGCCAAATGGATAGAACTAGAAAAGATCATCCTGGGGGGCTGGAGAGATGGCTCAGAGGTTAAGAGCACTGTCTGCTCTTCCAGAGGTCCTAAGTTCAATTCCCAGCAACCACATGGTGGCTCACAACCATCCGTTATGAGATCTGGTGCCCTCTTCTGGTGTGCAGATATACATGGAAGCAGAATGTTGTATACATAATAAATAAATAAATAAATAAATAAATAAAATCTTAAAAAGAAAAGAAAAGATCATCCTGAGTGAGGTAACCCAGACCCAGAAAGACAAACATGATATATACTCACTTCTAAGTGGATATTCGCTGTAAAGGATAACCATGCTACAATCCATGGACCCAGAGAGCCTAGGTAACAAAGAGGGACCAAAGGGGGAAGCATGGATCTCTCTGGGAAGGGGAAATAGAAGAGTTTTCCTGGGTGGACTGGGGGCGATGGGGGGGTCATGAGGGATCGGGTTGGGGATGTGAATGGAGGGGGAGAGTAATGAAAGAGGTGATTGGAAGGGGGGAGGAATTTCGGGTTCAGAGAGAAACCTGATACAGGGAAAACTACCGAATTTACAATGATGACCCCAGCTAAGACTCCTAGCAATAGTGGATACAGTAGCCTGAACTGGCCTTCTCCTGTGATCAGATTGGTGACTACTCCAGTTGTCATCAGAGAGAGCCTTCTTCCAGTAACTGATGAAAAGAGATGCAGAGACCCACTGCCAAGCATTACCCCCACCCCAGGAAATCTTGCTGAAGAGAGAAAGGAAGGATTATAGTAGCCAGACGGGTCAAGGACACCACAAGAAAGCCCACAGAGTCAAGTCACCTGGCTCATAGGAACTCGAGAGTCTGAACCAACAACTAGCGAGCCTGCATGGGGCTGACCTAAGCCCTCTACATATATGTGACAGTTGTATAGCTTGTGGGACTCCTGACAATCAGAAGCAGGGGCTGTCCCTAATGCTTTGGATGGCTTTGGGTAACCTGTCCCTCATACTGGATTGCCTTGCCCAGTCTTAGTCCTACCTCAACTTGATATGTCATGCTTTGTTGACACCCATGGAAGGCCTGCCCCTTTCTGAACAGAAACAGGAGGAGTGGTTTGGGGGTGGGTAAATGGAGAAGAGGTGAGGGAGGGGATGAAGGGGTAGGAGGGAGGAGAAGCTGTGTTACAGTCAGGATGTAAAATAAAGGGGGGGGGGTGAAGAATCTGTGATAGTATACAGCATCTTTTGGGTACATGCCTGGGAGTGGTATGGCTGGGTCATATGGTAGTTGTGTTTCTAATTTTCTCTATCTCTTACTTATTTTCTTTTAGGAAACCTCTACACTGTTTTCCAAAGTGACTTCACTAGTTTTACACTCCCACCACCAACAGTGTGTAAAGGTTTGCCCACATGCCAGCCAGGATTAGTTGTCATTTTGTATTCGTTTGTTTTGGTTTTTGAAGACAGGGTTTCTCTGTATAGCCCTTGATGTCCTGGAACTCCCTCTATAGACCAGGTTGGCCTTGAACTCACAGATATCTGCCTTCCTCTGCCTCTGGAGTGCTGGAATTAAAGGCGTGTGCTATAACTTGACTCCCAGCTTCTCATTTCTTGATGGCCAGCCATGATGGCTTGAGGTAAAGTAGAATTTTAAAATAGCTTTAATATACATTTCTCTGATGGCTAAGGCCGTTGAACACTTTATTTTTATTACTTTTTAGGTGTTTCTTCTTCTGAGATCTTTCTATTCCCTTTCATAACCCATTTTGCAATTGAGTTGCTAGTATATTCTAGACACTAATCCTGTGTTAGATGTAGAATTGGCAAAGATTTTTCTCCAGTCTGTGGGCTGCCTCTTCACTTGACTGACAGAAGCATCTTAGTTTCATGGGATCACATTTGTTATCTGGGAGTTTCCAGATACTTTTTCCTCTGGGAGTTTCAAGATAACAGATCTTATATTGAGGTGCTAGATCCACTGGGAGTTTAGCTTTGTGCAGGGTCAGAGATGAGATTCTAGTTTAGTCTTCTATATGGGTTCCCCAGCACCATCTACTGAAGATCTGTCTTTCCCCCACCATGGATACTTTTGGAATCTTTACCAGAGATCAGTTACCTGGAGTTGACCTTGGCTTTGTTTGCTCATATAATTTTTTTCCTCCATATAAATTTTAACACTTTTTTTCTATTTCTTTGAAGAATAGCCCAGGATTTTTTGTTGGAGTTGCATTGAATCTGTAGATTGCTTTTGATAGGATAGACATTTTCATAATATTAATTCTTTTGATATAGCTGACAATGGAGGTCCAGCCCCCAGTCACCAGGTTATTCGGAAAAAAAAAAATATCCACAAATGGCAGCCATAGCTTAGGAAAAATTCTTATGTATCTAATAGTTAGACTTTTTTTTTTTTTTTTTTTTTTTTTTTTTTAACCAGGCGGGGGGGGTTTTTAATAACCAGACGGGGTGGCTTGTTAAACACTAATTGTCACCTGCTGTATAATCCCACAACAGCTCTCTACATTCTGAGCCATGAACATAGGTGGTCATCCTCTAGTGACATCCTTGGTTTTTCAGTGTCTTAATGTTTATGTTGAAGAAGAGTCTTTTATTTCCTTGGATAAGTTTATTCCTAGTGGTGTGTGTGCGTGTGTGTGTGTGTGTGTGTGTGCGTGCGTGTGTGTGTGTGTGTGTGTGTGTGTGTGTGTGTGTGTGTGTGTACTGTGAGTAGGATTGTTTCCCTGATTTCTTTTTCAGTATGTTTTGTTATTGGCATAGAGGAAACGGATGAATTTTGTGTGTTAATTTTGTTTCTTGCTATGTTGCTGAAAGTGTTTATTAGCTCTGGGAGTTTTTTTTTTTTTTTTTTTTTTTTTTTTTTTGTGGAGTCTTTAGAGTCTTTTAGGTTAGATTCAGACCATCTGCAAATAGATACACTTGGACTTCTTTTCCTATTTACATCCTACTTATTTTGTTTTCTTATTGCTCTAGCTAAGTTTTCAAGCACTGTATTAAATAGGAGTCGAAAAATCACTCTGTCTTGTTCCTATCTTAATGTGAATGGTTTGGGTTCTTTTTTGGTTAGCATGATGTTGGCTGTAGGAATGGTAGTTTGTTGGTTTTTTTTTTTTTTTCGTGTTTAGCATATTGGCTGTAGGTTGTCATATGTAGCCTTTGTTATGGTGAGATATGTATGCTCTTCGATACCTAGCTTCTCGGTGACTTTTACCATGATGGGTTCTGTGTTCTTCAGGAGCTCTGGTCTTTAACTTTTTTTCTTGGATCTTTGCCTGGTTTTGTTATTGACTTGTTTTAGAAACAAGTATTAATGTTTTATCAAAAACTCATAAGAAATTTAAATCATTAGTTCTAGTTTGTGTAATTAAGAAATGGATCTTTTCCAGAAAAAGACTAAAGTAATAACAGGGTCCATCCAAGAAGGAGAGAAACATAAGTTAGAACTTAACACACAAAAAGAAGCTTTTTCCCACATTTTGATATGTATTAACTTTTTTAGGGACTCATCATTGGTATAGTGAGAACTAAGATGCAGTAGCAATGGGGTTGAGGGCAGCTAGTAAACACTGATGCCTATTGTGTTCCATAACAGAGGTCTCATCAGGACCTTAAAAGGGAAGGACTTTATGTCTATTACAGTATTCAGCTGTACTGGTATTCAGGCTCATGTGAGCCACAGACTTCCAGAACATCTCTTCCATTGGTGATTGGTCAGGTTTGCCACCACGTTACCCATTACCTGTATGCTGGGAAAGCCTTAGACCCTCATAAGTATGGGGCCAATCTGTTGTGTGAAGAATGATTTGACCTTTACTAAACAGAATTACTAATTGCTAACTCAGACCGAAAGATCTTTAAACCCTTCGTTAACTCAGTGTAGCTCATTGGCTACCCAGGGGTGGGCTTTGTATCCGATGGCAACTGCTTTGAACGAATGTATGGGATGTGTGGCTCCCTCTAAGAGTCCAAGAAGGATCCAGAATAGCTGCTGAATCCAGCTCCCAAGCATGCTGAATGCAGGGACCAGGGCACACTGTCAGGCAAGGAAATTATCATTCACATCATGGTGAAGGACAAGGTCGCCACCAGTGTGAATGGACTCACCCTGTTCTTAAAACCCACATTTCGCTTTCAAATCCAAGAATTTTTATTTAAAAAAGTTTTATTCAGATGTGAGTTTGAAGATGTGCAAAGGATTGTCCTCCTAAGGGGAACTCGGTAGAAACAAGACAAAACCCTGAATACAACTGACTGAGAAAACTGATGAAAAGCCCTTTTATATTCCCTGAGGGGAGTGGAGGAGAGGGATGGAGGGGAGAGGGAAGCAGCTGAGGAGCCTCAAGAATCCCATACAAATCCACACAGTTTTGTTAACCATTTTGATTGACATTCCAATTGGCTCCAGTGGGCATTTTGATTGACACTGTTGTGTGACAGTGTCATTGACACAGTTCACATCTTAGGCTCCTGCTATTTGGAATTGTGATTCTGGTTATATTACTACTTAGGGAGGGTTTATATTGTTTTAAAAATGGTATGTGACGAGAAAATTTACCACTGTTATTCTATTGTAGTGTTTGGCTTTTATGCAGTTTAGTCCATGTGCTGTTTGGGAACAGTGTGCTCACCTCAGCCCACATCCGTGGTTATGTCAAGTGTGATCCACTTTGCAGATTGCTGACTGGAGACAGTTGAACTGTGACAAAGTGCTATCTTCTTTTCGACTGTGGCAGGAGGGCCTCGGGAGGGTTCTTTGATGGTCTGGGAGGTGAGGAGATCCTATCTGAAGCATATCTCAGGGTTCCATGTCGTTTATTGGCACTCATTTGGATATCAAGAGTAATGGTTGATATAATTTTCTCAATGCATGTTTCTTTAAGGTGTTCTCATTCCGGAGGAGAAGCACGCCTGGAAACCCCTTCTGCTAAAAAATTAACTGATATCGGAATCAGGAGAATCTTTTCCTCAGAACACGACATTTTCCGGGAAAGTGTAAGGAAGTTTTTTCAGGAAGAAGTGGTTCCGTACCATGCAGAGTAAGTGTCCTCTTTCCCCACTTTAACGTTACATTCCGAAATGACCCTTTCCCAGAATGCCATGCACGTGACCCAAAAAGTGCTTTCTTTGCCTGGTCACTGTTCTTTACTGAACTACTGTGGAGATCATAGGTAGGATTTCTTGGTTTTATAAATATTTTATTGTTACTGTTAGTAGTATTAATTTTATTTTTCAAGTCCTCATATATTACTATGTTCCCCAGGCTCGTCTTGAATTCATGGGCACAAGTATTTTCTCCCCAGGTGCCCAAGTATCTGGGGCTACAAGCTTGTGTCATCACATTTGGCCTTTTAAAGTGTGTCATTCAAGAGAGGGAAAGTTTGTGGATTTACAAGGGAACCTAAGAATAACATTTAAAAAAATAAACAAAACTAAACAAAAATACCAAACTCTATGGTTAATTGTCAAATCCTAAGTCTATTTTATAGTCTTTTTTTCTGTGTTATGAATAAATTAAAGTATGTAAATGTTTAAGAGGTCAGCATAGTGCAACTTGGTAGGTCATTGGCTACCTCTAAATATTTTTACCACTGGTTTTGTTTCTAAAGAGTATTATAGATTTATTAATGTGTATGAATGTTTTCCTTGAATGCATTTCTGTGAATCCTGTACATTCTGGAGCTGTAGTTAAGGATACTTATGAACCACTGTGTGTGTGCCAGGAAGTGGTGCCAGGAATTGAACCCAGGTCCTCTGCTCTTAACCACTGAGCCATCTTAGCCCCGCTGCCAGTATCTCTTGATTAATCACTTTATTATTGAACAAAAATATAATTTGTATTAAAGTAGAATTTTGTCGTGTTTCAAAATTCACTAATTTTACTATATTGCAAATGGGTTTTAAATATTATTTAAGAATAGCTTTTGTGATTTTTTTTTTCTTTTGAGACAGGTCTATGTAGCCCTGGCTTGCCTGGCACTTTCTATGTAGACCAGGCTAGCTTTAAATTCACAGAGATCCACCTGCCTCTTCTTCCCAGTGCTGGGATCAAAAGTGTACACACCCATACCCGGTTTAAATTCAGCATTTTAACGAAATATGTGGGAAATCTTTACAAGTCCTGTTTGGGAGATTTCATAGCTATGGGGTAAAACTAAGCTGTATCCTAGAGCATCAAGTACCCATGAGAGCAGCAGGAATAAGTTAAAGGTCTAGTCAGTAGATCAGGAGGGAGCAAAAGGTAGCCATGACCAGGAAGAAAAAAAAAAAAAAAAGCAGAAATGAGCCAGGTACACACTGAAAGGCCTGTGGCCAGTGCCATCTGCTACTTTAAATTAAGGACATGTTCCTGCACAAATCTCAAGTTACCTGTGTGTCCGTTTACATAATTTTCAGGAAGTTTGTCTGACTTTAAGTTTACTTTTGCAGATGGGAGAAAGCTGGAGAAGTGAGTAGAGAATTGTGGGAGAAAGCTGGCAAGCAAGGCCTGCTTGGCGTCAACATCGCAGAGAAACATGGCGGTATTGGCGGAGACTTGTTCTCAACAGCAGTTACTTGGGAAGAGCAGTAAGTATGGAGACGTTTAAAGTGGAGTCTTGTTTAAGTTCTCCTTCCTGACATGGTAATGGAAATACTTTCTGAAGTTCTTGGAAGACTGAGAATTCAGTGTAAAATACGGGAGATGACCATGTGTGTACTCAGTCTTGGATGTGGGAAGGTATTCCATGATTTGTAAGTCCTTTTACATTGTTGAACTAAATACTGTTGGCAGTACAGATGTGGTACATACCTGTCATCCTAGCACACAGGAGACAGAAGCAGGAAGATCGCTGAGAGTTCAAGGCTAGCTTGTTTTACATAGAGTTCTAGGACAGCTGGAGCTACATAGCAAGGTCTTAAGAAACAAAAAGGCATGGTGGCACACGCCTTTAATGCCAGCACTTGGGAGGCAGAGGCAGGTGGGTCCCCGAGTTTGAGGCCAGCCTGGTAGATGGAGATAGTTCCAGTACAGCCAGGAATACATAAAGAAAACCTGTCTCAAAAAACAAAAAAGAGAATAGCTTCATTTTTCATTTCTGGTTAGTTGTATCTCCTCTCTCCCTTTAAAGAGTATAGCAGAACGGGAAAATATTCCATTGAAATATGCCAAAAGTTACATTGTAAGAATACAGAGGCTTCAGCTAAAATGGCAGGAGATTTTGGAGCAACAGCGCCTCATAAGAGAAATGCTCTTCCATTTTATTTAATGAGAGAAGTCTTCCTCACTACCAAGTGATGGTAAATTACACCAGCCTGGAATTATCATTCTGCCTATCAGCAAAATTTGTGAAAATTGACAAATCCTGATACCCAACAATGACAAGATAGTTGTGAAAATAACATATCCATTCACCATTAGTAGCATGAAGAAAAATGAACATTTCTGGGACTTAAATGTAAGTGTATCAAAGATGAATGGACATGTTCCCAGCAGGGTGCTATTCCGGGGAATTTACTGTAAGAACGCAGTTTATTAGGAAAAGAGGAATCTGTGCTCTCAAGTCCCTGTTATATTTGACCATAATCCTCTAAACTGTGATGCAAACTTAATGTACTACAGTGGGAAGAGGAATATGTAAGTTATGTGACATAAATAATCTGGAATATTTTACATCTGTCTAAGAACATAAATTAGCTGGATGGTGGTGGTGCACGCCTTTTATCCCAACATCGGGAGGCAGAAGCAGGCAGATCTCGTGAGTTGAGGCCAGCGTGTTCTACAGAGCTAGTTTTAGGACAGCCAAGGCTACACAGAGAAACCCTGTCTCAAAAAATAACAAAAGAAAAAAGAAAAAAAAAAACGGCCGTAATTTTAAAAAAGTTGTAAGCAATGGGGGCGTGCTCCTAATGTACCATTGCTATGTTAGAGCCACAATGAAAAGGTTTAGAAACAAGATGGCATTCGGGAAGGTCGTGGGCTTCTGAGAAGGCAGGCTGTTACCACTCAGCACAGTGACACCTTGGCTAAGTTAGTCAGTAAACTTGAAAATTAGAGAAACTTAAAAACAACCAACTAGCTATTTCACGGTTCCGTTTTCTCTTTTTGTTCTAAGAGCATACTCAAACTGCACAGGCCCTGGTTTCAGTCTTCATTCGGATATTGTCATGCCCTATATTGCACATTATGGCACAAAAGAACAGATAGAGCACTTCATCCCTCAGATGACGGCAGGCAAGTGCATCGGTGCCATAGCAATGACAGAGCCTGGTGCTGGAAGGTGAGTCAACATTTAGCTGGCTTTTGAATTCTCAGAAGCTGTAGCCTACCTGTAAACATTTGCTAGGCATGCTCCACAGTGCCCCATAAATATGGGTTTTGCATTCATGGAGTTATAGAATCTCAGATTGAAAATATTTGGAAAAGATATTTTCACCTGTACTGAATGTGTAATGTATTTCTTGTCATTAGTCGCTAGAAAACCTGGCAAGTATTTACATTGGCCTGGATTCTATAAGTAATGTGGAAATTAAACTTTAAAGCATGTATAAAGTATATAGGTTTTAGTGTCTGGGAATAGGGTTCCTGGAACCAATTCCCCCAAGTCCCTGTGGGTACTAGGTGACCATTGCTCTTTATAAGTGATTCTGAGCTGTATACAAGATGAAAGTGAACACAGCATAATTCACAGTGTAAAACTGCAGTCTGAAAACAAGGCATTTTTATAAACAAATAATGGCAAAGCAGTTGTAATATCTGCTATGTTCAAGATATCAACATGGTGTAATGAACACAGCAGTAGTGTATGAAGTGAGTCTTTAGCAGAATGTGTTTTTTTTTAAGTGTTGAGAGGGCTGTTAAACATGCTTATTGGAACTCTTGGACACAGCTGTGGAGGCTGTACATTTTAAAAAGAAGAGAGTGCAAAACCAGGGACGTTTCAAACTAAGAAGAATGTCAAAATGCTGAGAAACAAGGACACATGTATGAGAGGGAAAGACCAGAAAAGATGGGACACAGTGTGTTTTGCCTTATGTCAGAGATGGGTCGACCACTGTGTTCTTAACTTAGATTTTTAGATTTGGCCTCCACAGAAAGTTTGCCAGTGCTGGATCAATGAGATGACTCAGCAGGTAAAGGTGCTTGCTTGTGTTGCAAGCCTGGCAACCTGAGTGGACTGTGTATAAAGATGGAAGGAGGAAATGAGCTCTACAATGCGTGCATGCCCTGGCTTGCGCACTTACATACACACAGTAATAAAGATGATGATACTTTTTAAACATGTTTGCAGTTTCTGGGAACCATTCCGTTTCACCAGCCCTTCCCCTCCTGAGTTCACAGGTGACTTTGTTGTATTCACTGATGTACATTTGCATGATGCTGTAGGTTTTTGTAAGTGTTCTCACACTGATTTCTTACATTAATTCTCATTTGGGGATAATCATATAAGATAGAGAATTATTATGGTCCCTAGGTTAGGAGAAAAAAATGAGAAAAGTTCTTTTTAAAAAAATACATTACAGCAAGTTGATGATTACATTGTATTTGGGCTATTATGACACCAGATCTGTGGTGGTGTAGAAATCTCTAAGTCTCAATGTTAGAATCAGGGAAACTGAGGTAATATTCGAAGTCTGTGTTCTTGTCATTACTGGGTTGTACTATATTTAAAGCATTTTCAGTGTTTCCTGTATACCACTAACCTATGCCATTACTTTTTTTTTTTTTATCTGTTTATGTCCCTGCATGGAATAACCAGGTTTTGTTGTTGTTTTATGTGTCTGTGTCTGTGTCTACATGCTGTACGTGTGTGGGTGCCCATGGAAGCTAGAAGAGATCATCAGATTCCTTGAAGCTGGAGTTGCTGTTGTGAGCCTTTTGCAGTGGGTGCTGGGGACTGAACCCAGGTCCTCTGCAAGAGGAGCTCTTAACTTCTGTCTCATCTTTCTAGTCTCGGGGACAACTATTTTAACAACCTATGTACAGATTTTAGGAACTGATCCTAATGGTGAAAATTATAACATTGGAATTCATCTCTCACATTTCTGGAGGCTATAAATCCACATTTGATATCTTTGGTCCCAAATCAGTGTATCATACACCCCCTAGAGGGTAAAGGGAAGAACTCACTCCTTGCCCCTCTCTTGTCCTGGTGGCTCCTAGCCTTCACTGGCTTATTACCTAGGGTCATGTAGCCCCCTACTTTTCTCACTCTGCACCTCTCTTAAGGATATCTGTGATATTTAGAGTTCATCTAGATAATCCATGATAATCTTTCTGCCTCAAAAATCCTAGAACTGCTCACATCTGCCAGATCCCTTTTCCAGGTGATGTAATGTAAGGTTAGGACCTGGTGTCTTTGGAATGGTGGGTATAGTATTTAACCTAGTGTAGAAAGGTGTTTTTTGTTTGTTTGTTTGTTTTGTTTGTTTGTTTGTTTGAGACAGGGTTTCTCTGTGTAGCTTTGTAGACCAGGCTGTCCTTGAACTCACAGAGATCTGCCTGCTGCTGCCTCCCAAGTGCTGGGAGTAAAGGAGTATTCCACCACTGCCTGGCAGAAAGTAATGTTTTAAAGACTGTGGAGTATAAAAATACAAGGATCACATATAATAATGTAATGTGGATTAGTTATACACTGTGCTATTCATTGTAGAGTATTAGTGAAAATGAAAAACTTAATGCTAGGGCTGGTGAGGTGGCTCAGCGGGTAAAGATGTCTGCCCCCAAGTCTGATAACCTAAGTTTGATCCCCTCCCAGGACCCACATGGTAGAAGAGAACTGACTTCTAAAACTTGGCCTTTGAACTCTACACTCATGTTGTAGCAGTGTGCATGTAAATACACACACACACACTAAATAAATCATGTAATTAAAAAAAACTTATGTAAATGAAAATTATCTTACAGGGCTGGGTGTGGTGTATACCTTTAAACCAGAGGCAGGTGAATCTGTGTGTTCAAGACCAGTCTGGTTTATAAGCAAGTTCCAGGACAGCTGGAGCTACATAATAGAAAGGCCCTGTATTAAAAAACAAAACAAAACTACCATAAAACAAAAATTATCTCACAGAAAAATACTATATATGAAGATCAAAATCATGTATGGTTCTAATTTTATAAAAAAATACGTATATTACATATGTATGTTTACATCCATTGAAAATATTAGAAGGGTATATTTAAACAATGTTGATTCAGGAGATAAATTATTTTTGAAAGTCAGGCCTCATGTTACACACTTGAAATCCTAGCCCTTGTGAAGCTGAGGCAGGAAGATTTAGTTTGAGGACAGGCTGGGCTGCATAGTGAGTTCTAGGACTGCCTGAGCTACATATCAAATCTTGTCTCAAAAGACCAAAAGTAAATGGATAATTTTCTTATTTGAATACTGTTTTTATGTGTTTATTGCTTTAAAATTATGTGCATATATGTGTGGGTGGTTGTGTAATGTGACTTTAGGTTCCCACGGAGGCAGAAGTTACTGGGTCCCCTGGAAGCTGGAGTTACGGGTGGTTTTGAGCCACCTGATGTTGATGCTGGGAACCAAATCTGGGTCCTTTGAGAGACCAGTAAGCGTTCTTCACCACTGAGCCATCTCTCCAGCCCCTGTTCATGTTTCAAATAGAAATATCTAGAAAGATACACTCCTTTTAGAGTTGGTTTGTTAGGAAGAAGGCAGTTGAAAATTGTTTAGCTTTTTTACATTTGCCTTCTGTATGACTATTGTTGCTTACATGTATGTATGTGTACCACGAGTATGACAGGTGCCCATGGATGTCAGAAGAAGGCATTGAAACTGGACTTATGGATGGCTGTGATCTTCTGTAAGAGCAGCAAGTGCTCTTAGCTACAGAGCTTAGCTCTTAGCTCCAGCCCCTGCTTTTTTGCTTTTGTTTTGATGAAAAGATAGTAATAGGAACCAAATAAAGGCAAGGAAGTACATGCTGATTCATACTTTAGGGAGACAGCAAGTCTTAAAATGTCACAATTGTAGGGGAAATGCTGGCCACGCCTACTTGGAGGCTGGCACAGGTGACTCTGACCACGCCCACACCATAGTCTAGTTTGGAGTTCTTAAATATAGTTGGGCTTCTGTGACTCCTGTAAAGTCTGGTTAGTTCACTTAATTATCATACATTCATTCATGTAAGATCTTTAAAATATATCAGATGCATTTTTAGTGCAACTCTGTGACCATTTCTAATGTTAGGATTTTTAATACATGAGACTTTACATAATAGCTTTAGCATAATTTTATTGTTACCAATTGATTGACCTTTGTTTTCCATTGTAGTGACTTACAAGGAGTCAGAACAAATGCCAAAAGGTCTGGGAGTGATTGGATTCTCAACGGAAGCAAGGTGTGTCAAGAAGGGCTTCTCTTTGTAAGCAGGCCATGGGTACCAGAATCTAAAACTGCACATAGTTGATGATAGGAGCAATCTAAGGACTTAGAAAGAAATTGTTTGAGAGTTTTCAGGGTAGTAAGAAATTTACAGTTTTTATATGGCAGAATCTATAGCTATAGCCTCTTCTGTGTTCCATGTTGCTTGGCCCTCCACAAATACTGCAAAGGTGCTTTTAGCTTCCAAATAACTTTTGGAAAATAACCCCACCCCCCAAAAAGAAAAGGAGAGAAGAAAAGAAGACAATGATGAAGAAAATGTAGTTTTTGTTGCCCCAAAGTGAGACAAACAATGGTGAACTTTGTGCTGATGAAAGATTGGTGAAGGTGGGTATGGTTCCATGCACACCTTTAACCCCAGCACTGAAGGGGACAGAGACAAGAGAACCACTAGGGCTTGATGGCTACAAGCAGAGGTGAAAAATGAAAACCCCAGGTTTGAGGAAAGGCCCCGCTTTAAAAGAACAAGGTAGAGAATGATAGAGGAGGGACCTCACACATATGTATACTATCAAACAAGTAAATCATCTTTATAAAAAAGATTAAGAGGGAGCTGGAGAGAAGCTACAACAGTTAAGAGTACTGGCCCCTCTTCTGGAAGACCTAGGTTCCATTACCAGCACCCACATGGTGGCTTATATAACTCACTGTAAGTCCACTTCCAGGGAATCTGATGCCCTCTTCTGGCTTCTGTGGGTTCGGTATGCATGTGCACAGACGTACATGTAGGAAAAACAAAAACACCCAAACACTTACAAAATAAAATGGAAAAAAGAAAGATTGGGAAGAAAAGCTTTCAAGCAAATATCAGAAACTTTCAAGAGCTCTTAAGAGATAAAAGTGCACGTGATAGGCTTTCAAGAACCTCCAGTTGGCCTGAGAATCAACTTACCGATAGACTTGAAGAGCGCCTCAAACAGGTGCAAGTGGCTCAAGAGCAAATTTATCCCGGGAAGAACTGTTCCAGTTGACTAAACATTACAGAAAGACGTTCTTTTTTTTTTTTTTTTTTTTTTTTTTTTTTTTTTTTTTTTTTTAATACAAGGCCTGTTTGTGGATGCATTTTCTCGTTTGACTGCTCTTTTTTTGGTGCAAGGGTTTGAGCCCAGGGTTTCTCTGATGCTAAATATTATCACTCTGGTGGAGGTGGGGGTTGGGGGACATTGTTATTATTTGGGCTGCTTGTTTGTTTGAGACAGGGTCATGCTATAAAGCCCAGAGTGGCTTTGAACTCACGATCCTCCTATGTTACCTGCCCAAGTGCTAGCATTCCAAGCATATACAACTATTTTGTGTTTATCTGTTTTTAAATTTCTTTTCTATTTGCTTTAAGTTAGTGCTTTTATCTTTACAAAATCAAATAATATTGTGGTACTGTCAGGTCCTTAAAATCTGATTTTCCAACTTATGTTGTCAGTGTCTAAGAACAGTCTGTTCTCTGACATCAGTAATTCCTGTGCACTGTGAGTGTGTAAAAGTTGAAGACAGTACATCTTGTATCCTAGGAACTTTCCTTTTATAAACTGTCGTGAATCACTGACATCACTCAAATGTACTTTAGGAAGCAGTCCTAGGTGTTGTGGATATGGCTCTGTGGGGGAGAGTGTGCCTACTGTGTTCCAGGCCCTGGTTTTGAAGCTGTAAAAACCAAAACGAAACATCTCATCCAAGCCTGGCATGGTGATAAGTTGATGAAGTACAGTGAGTTATAAAAGTTATAGAAGTACTTAACTCAATGTGAAGGACTGAGAAGAATCTTAGATGATGTGATACATACCTTAGTCCAACCTAGATGAGTAGGATTCCCTTTGTCAGAGTTAGAACAGGCCTCCATAGATGCATGGGTCTGGAAGGCTTTGGAATGTGTGAGACAGCCGGTGCTTCAGTAGAGCTGAGCTGAGGACAGAAAGTGGAGGCAAAATAGGATGAGAGAAGTAGTAGGAGGTATAAAGTAGCACCGGTTTGTGAGTTTTATATGCTTGCTCTAAGGGCTTAGAATTCGCCTTGAAGCCTAGCTTTTCAAGGATGTTGGAGTGTGGACATGGTGTGATCAGACTGCCTTCTAGAACGGTCCCTCTGAGAACCTGGAGGATAGAGTTGTAGTGGGAGCTGTCATAGAACCTTGTGCCAGAACTGATGAGGGTTGGGGGAAACAGTGATGGAAGTCATAGAAAAGGAAGTGAAATGGACACAAACAGTAAAATGGAGCAGCAGGAATCATGTGGAGTTGAAGGAGAGGCAGACGATAGCGTAGCTTATCAAAGCACCCGTTGCAGCAGAAGGTAGGTTAGTAGTCATTATTAGGTAGGAGGATGGCATGGGAAGGCTGTCCCGTGGTCGTGAGTCATTTTGTGGAATCCAGGTAGGTGTACAGGTCTAGATGGTATCAAGAAATGTGGCTTCAATGCTCATGGAGGCACACGCCTACCTTCTCTTTATTCCTTGCACTCTGGAGGCTGAAGCAGAAAGATGTTAAATCTTGGGTCAGCCTGAGCTACATAACAAGTCAGGCTGGCTGGTTAGTGAGATCCTGTCTCATAAAAGTGAAGGAGATAGCTCTGGACTTTCAGCGTGTGACTTAGGGGATGACTAAGCCAGGCAAGGTGTACAAGGAAGGAGGTGTCAGTTATTAAATGCTTTGGATCATCAGCTCATATTTCCTGTTTAGCTTGTTGTCATCCCCTTCCCCACCCCTACACAACTTAACTATAATCCTTTCCTTATTTAGGCCATTTTGAAAGTAGTCAATCTTTTATTTATATTTTTTTAAAAAAGAAAAAGTTATCCAAAACTGTCTCTTCAAAAACCTATCAATTTAAATTTCTTTTAAAAAGCCAATTCTCTTTTCCTCTCTGTAGCTCCCCTCTAAAATTCAGTTTACCAAGTGAATGGGAAGCTTGGTTTTGTTTTAGAGAGACAGCCTATTAGTTTCCTATTAGTACTCATCACATGAGTAGTGGAGAAATCTGTACACTTCAGGATAGCACAGGTGACCCCTGCCATTTGCTCCATCGTGACCAGGCATTCTGTGTGTGTACAGAGGGTGGGTAGCTGAGCTTCTCCTGCCCCTCGGGTCTTCTTGTACACGTGCCTCACCTCCCCAGTGTTAGCTTGTACATGGACCAGAATATCCCAGGGCATCACAGGGCATGTGGGTTTTTGCAGGTGTTCATCACTAATGGCTGGTTAAGTGACCTTGTGATCGTAGTTGCCGTCACCAATCGTGAAGCTCGGTCGCCTGCCCATGGTATTAGCCTTTTCTTGGTGGAGAATGGAATGAAAGGGTTTATCAAGGGCCGGAAGCTACACAAAATGGGAATGAAAGCTCAGGTAAGTAATGGTATGAATTGAATTCTGGCAATTTATTGTGTTCAATCAGAAAGCAGATAGACAGAGTCACTCATGGCATCTTCCTGTGCTTATTGCCAGCGTACCTTTCAGAAATGGTGGAGGAGATCTATTTCAGTGATGCCACTGCCTCTGTGGTGCCCAGAAATGGGAAGCAACCAGGGCATTTTTAATATCTGCTTTAGAAATGGGAATGTTCGCTTTTGTAATTGGAATAAACCATCCGTGGAATTTATAAAGAAGGGTATGCCGTAATAACAGTATTTTGGCATATTATTACCAGAAAACATGTTTTGTTTAACATGAGTTACAGTTTCTAACTTCCCAGGACCTAGAGAACTGGACAGTGTCAAAGCCTGAATGACAGTGTATTTCACTGAGAAAGCCACACATCATAGAATGAGATGGAATTAGATAAAACACCCTGGGTTATGGATCACTACTTAACTTTTCATCTCCAAGTCCCTTCCAGTTTGTTCCTTGTTTCTTCTGTGGAAGCTGTGAACTTTATTGGATTACTGGGAAACCAGTACACTCATTCCCTGCTTGATGCACATTTCTTAGGACACAGCAGAACTATTCTTTGAAGATGTACGATTGCCAGCTAGTGCCCTACTTGGAGAAGAGAATAAAGGCTTCTACTACCTCATGCAAGAGCTCCCACAGGTATTAAATGCCCAACGTTGCTGTCTACTTCCGGTTAGATACTCAACAGAAATGGAATACAGAGCCCTGTAGATTCACACATATCAAGCTTGCACCACAACAGACATCTGAGTATGGAGCTGAATATAAAGAAGGATCACTGTTACAGGTCAGATAAGGAAGTAACAGGCCTCCACAGGATCCAACCAAAATGTAACCAAAGTAAGGAAAATAGGGATTTTATTTCTGTATTTCTTGGAATGATTCCGGCTTCTTAAGTGAAGAACTTACAGCTCTTTGTAAAGAACCATCACCAAGAATATTTGGTTGTAAATAACTGTGATTCAAAAGGAGAGAAGGTTTTAAACAGAAAGATTTGTCAAATTGCAGTCTTCATAATTGCTTAATCATTGGCACTTACATGCCGGTTTAAGTGTGTTCACCTGGGTGGCTATGGCTCAGGCTAATCATGAAATTGACAAGAGCCAGTGACTCCAGAAGGAAAGTAGAATACAGAAATTCCCAGTGTGCTGGAATTCGGTGACTAAGGCTATTTTTGCACTAATTGGTAGAATTCGAACCGTGTACTTGAAGACATTGTGGAACAATGCTCCACAAATGCACTGTTCTGTAGTAGATAATGAGGGAAAGCAATCAGCCTTGGCAGTTGATTACATCTATGTGGTAAAGCATGGATAAAACCCAAACACCTTAGCATTGTTCTTAGCTATGTTGTGATAACTACAGACTTCTGTGGGAGCCCTTTCTTAGAGCTCAGAAGTAAGTTTAAAATGTGATCTTTAGTTAGTTTGTTATAACAATTATTTATAGGACTCATTGAAATGGTATGAAAATTGTTTTTTGTAATAATGCTTACTGCTTAATTCTGGGGTTCTAGGAAAGGCTGTTAATTGCAGATTTGGCAATTTCTGCCTGTGAGTTCATGTTTGAAGAAACCAGGAACTATGTTAAGCAAAGGAAAGCTTTTGGGAAAACAGTTGCACACATACAGGTAAGTTAGTCCTTACAGCTTCGTATTTGTTTATCAAGTTAGTCATCTCAGTTAGATCAGGATGAAATGTTTATTAAATGTAATTTTGATGCAAGGCTGTTTCAGAAACATGAAAGTGGATAGGATGCCTAAAGGAAAGAGTAGAAATACTAAGATAAGAAGAGGGCCCAGGGCAGAGTCCTGAGAAAAACTGTTAAGATTTTATGTTACCTTATATGCCATCATAGAGCCTTCATCGAGTAGCTGATAGAAGCACAAACAGAGATCCACAGCTAAGCACTGAGCTGAATTCCTGGAATCCAGTTGTAGAGAGTGAGGAGTGATGAGCAAATGGGTCAAGACCATGCTGGGGAAACCCACAGAAACAGCTGACCTGAGCAAGTGGGAGCTCATGGACTCCAGACTGATAGCTGGCGAACCAGCATTAAGACCAAACTAAGCCCCCTGAACATGGGTGTCAGTTGGGGGGCTTGGGAAGTCTGTGGGGCCACTGGCAATTGAACCAGTATTTATCCCTAGTATCTGAACTGGCTTTTTGGAGCCCATTCCCTATGGAGGGATACTCTTTCAGCCTAAACACAGTGGGGAGAGCCTCCGTCCTGCCCTAAATGATGTGACAGACTTTGATGATTCCCCCATGGGAGGCCTCACCCTCCCTGAGGAGTTGAGGGGGGGTGAGGTGGGGAGATGGTGAGGGGGGGGAAGGACAGGAGGAAGAGGGAACCAGGATTGGTATGTAAAATAAGGTTGTTTTTATTTTAAATTAAAAAATAATTTAAAAAAAGGTTTAATGGTAACATAGTAAAGGGAGATTCTGCAGGAAGCAGAGGAGGAAAGAAGAAAAAAGGCAGATTGGGAGAGGCTTGTCACAGAGACCAACAGGGATGACTTCAGGATGAGGGAGTGACATGGAAGCTTGGACTCCTTACTCTCCTATGTAAGCCATACAGTCACCATGTTGGTGGAACTTCTCACCGGCAGACTTATGCTTGGCATTAAGTTTGAACCTTTTAAAGTAGACTGACTCTGGCGGAGCAGCTTTGTGAAGGGAAAGGTAGGAATGGCAGTATCTTCAGAGGGTGACACACACAGCCTTGTAGCCTCATGGTCGAGTGCAGCTTATGTCCTCAACGTAGCTCTCTACAGTCAAGGCAAGTTGTGTTCTGGAAGAAAAATTTTCCTGTTCAAAAATTTTAAAAATTCACTTGATATGCAAAACTGTAAAATCTTACTAGTAAAAATTCTTGAAGTTTGTAAGACATGTTTATTCACAAGTAGAGATAATTTTTTCTATTTATGAATAATATTAGCACCTACCTTGTGTGATTACTGTAAGGATTTGATGGGGCAGTGCATATAAAGCACTTGGAATATTGCTTCCAAAGACACGTACACACACACACACACACAAACACACACACACTATAAATAAATACATAAACAATAAGATAAATCTCTAAAATATGCTACCCAGATTTCCCGAATGATTCCCAGAGCAGGTGACTAGACCATAAAGGAAGTAGCAATTGCTGTGTGTAATGAGAAATCCACCTGCGTCTGCTTAAGGGGTCTCGAGGATTTATTAAGATGTGTAAAGGAGGAAATAGACTAACGAATACAGGATAGGGTAAATCCAGTTGCAGAGTCCTTGGAAAGCTGGGGACCTATCACATGCTGCTTCCTGCCACCTGACCCGGGCTTCACCACCCAAGAGAGCGCGACCCCCACTCCCTTCACTGTAAGAGGTCATGTAGGCAGACAAGAAACACCGCCTCTATCAGGCCAGATAGCCCAAAGGTCTTGGGCAGAGTGAATACCCACTGAAAATCTGTATTCTTGTTCCACATACTTGCCACTGAGCCTGATGACCTGACTTTGAGTCTCAGAACCCATGTGGTAGTGTTAGACCCCCGGAAAACTCAGGTATCCAGGGTCCCAGGCCATGACTGCGGTCACCCCAATCACCAGGCGGATTCGAGAGCTTGCTGCAAACTGCATGAGGCTTTATTGTAATTTAACGAGCTAACCCCATGTTAGCTCGGGTCTTTCACCCCCCCGCCATGGCGGATGGCTAGAAAAGACGGCTCCTAGGGCCTCCCGAGAGATCTTATAGGACAGCGTAAGGGGAGTGTCTAGGGGTATGCAGAGGCTCACGATTGTTGTGCCTCCAGGCTTGGAGGGCTTGCCCTGTGTTGATTGGCCAACTGGTTGTTATGGCCCATAGGCCCTCCCAGGGTGGTTGCTATGCTTTGTGCATCATTGCTGTGTGCTTGTCCGTAAAGCACACCCAGGGTCGTAAAGCATAGCGCCGCCAGCTAACTTCTGATTGGTTCCTTGTCACGAGGCAGGCATCTGACTTTCTAGTGACTAAGACAAGGTCATAGAGCAGTGTTCGGCCGTTATGGCTGCCAAAAGGGAAGCTGGTCCCTTCAGTAGGACAGATCCAACTCTCGAAAACCTCAACTCAGGCAGCACTGTGGTATGTTTGTGCTCACCCACATGTATGTATGTGTATGCATACAACACACACACAAGAAATAAATGCATGTGATTTAAAATGTAGTCATGTACTATACAACAATGCAGTCATCGGTGATGGACCGCAAATATGACCTGGTGATGGAGCATTTATAACATGGTAGCTCAGTATGTGACGGGGAGATGCTGGTGTAAGCAGTCTGTGGGTCATGCGGACAGATAGTGCATTCACTCACGCAGTATATAATACTTGATAAATTTACTGCTTATGTATTATGCTATACTCATTGTCATTGTCTCAGGCTACCTTACTTTTTTCATTAAGGGAAGTTTATATTAGAATAGTACGTTATGCCAGCAGAATCCCCAGACTCCTCATGTTTTACAGTGTCTCTTGCTTGTCAAGATGCTTTGCTAAATATTCGACCTGTACCATTTAGGTTTATGTTGAGACACTGTGGCTCACACAATGGAGAAGTTGTTTAATGGCCTATTACTTGATTCACCTTGTTAAGCAATACATGACTGAACTTTTATGTTCATAGCAAAAAGATAAGGAGTTATATGGCTGCTTTTGAAAGCAAGTGCCATTTGTTGTCTTCCTACAAAATAAAAGTAGTTCCCTAGACTGTCAGTAGGTGGCAGTAGCTCTCAACCTGTGGGTCACAGTTCCTGGGATTGGGGTTGAATATCCCTTTCACAGAGATCAAATATCAGATATCCTACATATCAGATATTTACATTATGACTCATAAGAGTAGCAAAATTACAGGTATGAAGTATCAATGAAATAATTTGATGCTTGGGGGTCACTATAACGTGAGGAACTATATTCAAGGGTTACAGCATTAGGAAGAGGGAGACCCACTGGTCTAGATACTTACATGTGGGGAGGGTGGGTGGGTGTCTGCTGTGTGTGCGGAGTATGTACAAGAATGTGCGCAGGTTGGTACACTCGGGTATACATGAATGGAGGCCAGAGGTTGGATAGTTTTCTCCATTGCTTTCCAGCTCACTGTTTTGAGACAAGGTCTCTGACTGAATCTGACACGGTGGCCACACCATTCATTCATAACTTGCATACATCTCACATTTCTCCTTTTGCCTAGATTACGATCAGTTTGTTGAGAAGAAAAACCTTGAATGAAATTTCTCCTAACACAGTAGCTATAGTCAATCCTTGAAATATGAGCATCCAAAATTTGAACAGATCTAAAAAATGTTGCCTTTCTTTCTCCATAAGATCTTAAAACAGTTCCTGACAGGCTGTATCAATAGCATTATATACATTTGACTAGCCATCAGCCACAGTGGCAGTTCCCAAGGCTGCAAGTTATCCCCAGGAGCTCCAGGCTGTCCACCTCAGCCCAGCTGCTTTGTTGGGCCCCCCCACCGAGCCACTGGCTGGCTGAAGGTGGAGAGAAGGTGGCTGCTGCCAGGACTGACCTTGGCCTTAGTTCGACTTTTGCCCTCCAGGCCACTGGAAAATCTGTGGCTGTATTTTGGGCACAAGCCTGATCCCCTATTTTCTCTTCTGTTGGGACTCTGTTTGACCCAGTGCCCTTCCTGAACATGTCCAAAGCAACCTCTAGAAGGCTGTGTGCATTTCTTCCTCCCTATGCCTTGCTTTCTCTGTAGGAATAACATATTTTTAACTGAAGTTCCTGTAAGGCAGCCACCATCTCTAATCCCTGAGTGTCAGTTAGTTCCATTATCTGAAAAGAATCTTAATGAACTCGCCTATGTCAGTCCTCTTCCTTCGAGGCCTTAGCGTGGCCTGGCATGCAGTACCAGCATTCTCGTAAGCTAGCAGTTTCACAATCAAAGTTCCAACACCTGTGTCTCTAACCTTTTTGGATCATGTCCACATAGGCCTAGAAACAAATTCTGAACTAACTCCCTAGGTCCCTGCCTGCCCTCTATAACAAATACTCTCCCCTGACTGGCAGGCCTTGGCTACCGGCTTTCATTTTCCTAGGGGTGAGGCTTCAACAGCAATATTCCCTATCAGCCTCTGGGTATTACTGTTAGTCCATACTGCACATAAGCCATTTTTAGTTCCTTGAGCTGTTTGAATGGTATTGGTGCATGCATCCTGCTTATGTTCCCCTGAGCCTCTCTCTCTCTGATCTGAGGAAGCCTGCAAATTTCCCATCTCCTGTGAGAGCAATTTAGCTAAAACTTTCAAGTCTCTTAAGCTCATGCTGAATTTTCCCATTGAGTATTTGCCTCTCTATATTCCCAGTTTGAAATGAAGGAAGTGAAGACTCTCTCATCCTGCTCATCCCAATCATTTGTCCTGTATATTTTTTACCACCTAGCCACCCCTTGGCAGGCTCAGAGTTTTCTGTTCTCCATTACATTCCTAGATATCTCCTGCGGTCCTGCACGTATGCTAGGCTGCACCTATGTCTTCCTAAGCCCCAGCGCTACTTGAAACACTGACAGAGTCACAGCGGTGGCTTTTGCAAGCAGGAAGGATCCTTTTAAAACTCTCAAACTCTAAAATCTCCTGTACTTGCTTTCACTTTGTTTCAGCTCTCCTAGCTATTAAACTACCCAAGTAAATAAACATACAATCATCTGGTTAACAATTAATCTGCCTGATTTCTCTAACTATATACATTTTTACTTTCAAGGCTAACTTACTTCTCTTTACCATCTGGCTAATATTCCTGTTTCATATTTACAGTTACCTGCGTTTTTCATTCTGGAGTTTAACTCATCACATTTTACTACTTTATCACCTGACATTTCAGCCTCACATCTACTTTGTGCACCTTTTCTTGCTTTATGGGTTAAATAACCCATTTACCTTCTTTGTCAGCTGCTGGCTGACATTTTTGTGTTATATATATACTTTTGTGCACATTTCTACTTTAGGGGCTAAATAACTCGATTTACCTTTTTTCGTCAGCTGCTGGCTGATGTCTTCCTATTTTATATTACAAATATCTGTTTCCTATTTCTACAATTATTTACAATTTTATTCCTGTCTTAATGCTGTTCACTCACCACATTTGGCCACTTCTTTCTTCTTTTTTCTGAGACTTCTCCGACTGGCTCGACTTGGACAACTGTCTTTTCAAAGTGTTCATGCCTCTGCCTGTCCATTGTTTCTTTGGTGTCCCTTTCTTGGTGGTGTCCATGGCTTCTTCCCCCGTTCTCAGGCCCCATGTTGGGTGCCATTTTGTCATGGCCCGGCATGTCTCAGCCCCAAGCCAGGGTAGCCATGAGGTTCCGCCTGAGTGGGGGAGGGTGGACTTGGAAACTCCTAGCAACCCAACAGCGATAAAGACCAGACACAGGCATCTTGTCATCTCAGTTCCATGATGCAAAACTGGAGTCTTTTCTTTATTCAGCATCTTCCTGGCTGTTTCCTAACCATGCTTCCCTGACTCTGAGGCCATTTCTCTCCCCTCTGGCAGACCCCTATCGCCAGCTAGCTCCTCACTCTCTCTCTCTGCCCTCACTTGTTACTCACACACCTCGCCCTCCACCCAGGTACAGGCCTATTCAAATGCTTAGTCCTGTAGTGATGCAAACTAGGGGACATTCCCCACTGAGGCCATGCCATTCAATAGCAAATCAGTTAGCATCTTCGAGCTATTCAATGCATACCTGAGCTCCTGGTTACTGGAACTGCTGGAAATTTCCTAATGGAATTTTCCTGGTCCCCAACAGCAGTTGTGTTGTCTTTGAGACAGAGTCTCTCTATGTAGCCCTGGCTGAGCTGGAATTTGCTTTGTAGACCATTGGCTGTCCTTGAACTCTGAGAGATCTCCTGCATCTGCTTTCCAAGACTTGTACCACTGTGCCTGGCTAGAACCTATATTTTAATTGTACCAGTGTTTAAAGTGGGAGGTCCTCTTTTCTTTCTCTGTTTCGTTCATCTGTGGGCAGTGAAGTGAAGATGGAATGGTATTCTTTTCTAATAAGAGTGCTTAGTCATTTTCTGTGTGATACATACTATTGATTTTAAAGACAAAACTATTTGGGAAAGAAATAGGAAAAGAAAAAAAGTATCTTTTTCTTCAATGTCTTCAAACAGAAACTATCTAGTTCCTAAGACCTTAAATGTGGCATTAATTAACAGTAAGATTAGGTAGGAAACTGAATATGTTTTTTTTAATAGTTAAATCATAATATATACTAATAACAACTAACATTTTTGCTTTAATGACTCCTTGGGCTTGCTAACCATTCCAAGGTGCCTTCAAATCCTAAAGTTCCAAGATAACTGTCATTTATTGCTTAATTTTAAAACAATTACATTTATACTCTCCCTCTCTGCAACACCCTACCGCAGCACTCTGTGTGTGTGTGTGTGTGTGTGTGTGTGTGTGTGTGTGTGTGTGTGTGGTTGTGCACACCTGTGGCAAGTGTGTGGAGGTCAGAGAACATTTTGTGGGAACTGGTTTTCCCTCCACCATGTGGGTTTTAGGGTTGAATTTCAGGTCTCAGGCATGCAGGAAAGTGCCTTTACCTGCTGAGCCATCACCTGGCCCTCATTCAGAAAGTCCAGAGAGATTTTAGTCAGTTCACTTAGTTGCTTACAGATTTCTTTGTGTGTGTGTGTGTGTGTGTGTGTGTGTGTATGAGAGAGAGAGAGGGGGGGGGGGGGGAAACGAGAGACAGCCTTGAACTGAGAGAGAGGCGGGGAACAGTGAGACAGCCTTGAACTCCCGACCTCCTACCTCTGCCTCTCCCATGCTGGAATTTCAGATTCATGCCACTGTGCATGGGTAAGATTCTCTCTAAATTTAAGCTGCACTTTGTACTGTCTGCAAATATCAGTACCATTAAAGACACTTCTGTGAGCATGTCAATCATTCATGAAAAGCACCCTACCTGTAATGGGTGATGCAATCCTTCTCATCCATTCATCACAGAGTGGTTTCAGAAATCATGATGCTCTCTGGTGAAGCACAAAGGCCAGTTCTGTTCACCAGCTTCCAGTTTCGTGCCAAGAATATGTAAATATTTCATCTCTTTATCTTCAGACAGTAAATTATGTACTCTTGGCGGCATTCCTTATTTTTAGACCTTTGGACCTAGTGGATGTGCTGCAGTAAGAATTTTAAGTGGGTTTGATTTTTAACTTCAGCTTCTAGAAGCTTCCAGCATTTGTGTAGAATAGCTTTCAGAAGAGAGAGGTCTTGACCTTTTCATATTTTAAGTTAAAAGCTCATATGTAACATCATGGCAGTTCTCAGACATTATCGGATCTCCCGCCCCATCCCAGCCTTTTTCTCTTAAACTTAATGTTATACATGTCATGGATTTAAGCCAGCGGGAGACTTAGAATTCAGGGTTCAGGGTTTTCTATGTCTATAGAAAATGACTTCACGACTCTTTCAGATTTTTCTCTCTGCAAACTTGAATGTGTAAGTGGGTAGGGGGGACTTTATGCTGAGTAAAGATAGAGATTTAGCCAAAGGACCTACAGAGTTAAAAAAGGAGATGGAAAAAGTGTGACCTGCCAGTATGCTTCACATTGGAGGCCTGGACTCACAGGTGGCCATTGGGTACTTGGAGATAGCAGTTACACTTTTTAGAAGAGGATGGGGCAAAACCACAAGAAGACACTTGGTTTCATTAACACAATAGTTGATACATTCATGAGGCATCTGGCCCACAGAGCCCCCACTCCATCTTACTCTCTCCCAGCTCTCTCCTGGTCCCGCCATTGTTCTATTCCTATTCTTGGTTTTCCCACATAGAAAAATACTGAAATTGTACCCGGCCCTGCACTAGTCACATTGAACATTCAGCTTTACTCTTTGAAAATTGCCATAGCCACAAGTGTAAAAGTAGATCCAACATCCCCTGAGAGACTGCTCCCACAGCCTCCATTGGGAACTCAAGCCTGCCTTTGGACCCTGAAGTATAGGGTTAATTTCAAGGTTTCAGTGCAGCCTCCATGGGTGTGCCTGCTGTTAGCCACAGTGGACGTATCGGACACCCCACAACAGCACCATCAAATTGTAACTTCCTCAAGGAAGTAGCAAGCAGTTGGCTCAGATGGGCCTCAGGCCTCAGTTAGACTAGGTTGTGCTTTGGGGGGGCTCTACCCAAGTCCAAGCCTGAAGGAGGTTCGAGAGCTGGTGCCAGCAAGAACGGACGTAGACTCAAAGTTCGGGGTGTGAGAGCCAAGAAACAGTGAGTGAATAGAACTTGGCAGAAGGAAGACCAATGAGGAACAATTGAGATGGGCTAAATAGAGGGATCTCCAAGCTCACTGTTGGCTGTCTAATGGGCAGCAGGAGAGGGTAGACTCATCGCTAATAATACCTGCAAATAAGACCATTCAGAATTAGTTGGAGGGTATGTGAGGCTCTTCATTTGGTCTCTGCCTATTCCGTTTCCATTATTAGTACTGTGATTACTAATCTCATAAATTCGATGATGTGTATGTGATTAGATAAATCCATCTTGCCCCTCTATCACGTTATTTTATTATGTTACTTTAAGCCGAAGAGGCACAGTAGGGAAACACATATCCTCAATTTCATTAATACACAGTAAACACTCCCGAGGAAATGGGTATTCTAGCAGCTGTAGGTGATGGCTCTTGCCACAAGGTGGTGCTCACACATTAAATCCTGATGTTCCTTAAGCAGTTCCCTTTAAACCATGCTGGGCACTTGCCTATTTTCACCTCATTTGCTGCAGCTTTTTAAATGCTAAGATACAGGGGTTTTCTGTCTTTCTTTTTCTTTTTTTTCCATTTAAGTTAACATGTGCCCTTTTATTGGAAGAAAACCCCCATAGTTCCAGTTCTGTTTTCCTTTAAATTTTTCTTATTATGTATGCATTTGAGGTGCTGAGTTGAAATCTATACTTTTAACATTCTTTTCCCCCATCTTCATCTCAAGACGGTGCAGCATAAACTAGCAGAATTAAAAACAAACATATGTGTAACGAGAGCTTTTGTGGACAGCTGTCTGCAGTTGCACGAAGAAAAACGTCTGGACTCTGGCTCAGCTTCCATGGCAAAATATTGGTATGCACATTACTGTAATTAAAACGTGGTGTTTGTTCAGATGGCTATGGCATTTTCCCAGCCTTTAAACTCAGCCTTGAAGGTGTTAAAGGAAGAAGTCTGTAAGTGAAAAGTAGCATTTAAAAAAAAATCTGGAAAGTCCCATTGGGCTTGTTTATAATGTCCTAAGAATTACTTGAGCTGGTATGTAACTCATAACTTGCTATTAAAAGTAAAATATTAAGAGCCTGAAGTGGGATCACTGAATACTTCATTCAAGTGATAAGTTTAATTTCAAATTATCTAAAGAATGGCAACAAAGCGAGACAGAAAGAAGAGAAGGATAAAGTTTTGGAGTCTTGCAGTGTCAAGTTCCATTAAATAACTCCAACTGAATTTAATTCTCTAGTAACAGCTTAATGCTATCCGGGGAGTGTTCAGGGTGGATAGAATGTGACTTGTTTTCCACATCTAAGGAAAATGCTGAAGTACTGACTGTCTGGCCAAGGTCCTATTGAGTTTAGATAAACTTTTGCCTTTGAGTTAAGGATGATTAACAATGGTGTCAAAGGTGAGCTTGGCAACAGACCCCTGTAAAGTTCTTACGTGTTTTAAGGTGCGAGTGTGGTTTAAATCAGATGATAGAATGGGGATTGATTTCCTTAAAGAAGAAGAAGGAAGAAAACAAAACAAACCCATTTCATCTCCCTAGCCCAAAAGCAGCCTAGGAACATTTCCCATTGTTATTTATTAACTCAAGTTCAGTTCAGTCATTCCTAAACAAGGGAAATATGCAGAATCGTGCTTCCTGTAATGATTTTATAATGATCAGATTATGAGATTAAAAAGGAATGTGAAATTAATGTGGTCTTACATTTGGGCTGAGGGGAGACATTTTACATTTATGACAAGTTCTTTGGCTTATGGGAAAAGGTATAGAAAAGAATTTTATATATTTTTGGGAAGAGAATTTTACATAGCTAATATTGTTCTTGAATACATCAGCTTATGGCCATAATGGTGCTGAGTATTAAAAGACACTTTATGAATTGCTGATTATTGAGGAAGTTTTAAGGCCAGGTTTCATGTATCAAGGGTGGCCTCCTACTCACTACGTAGCAAAGGCAAGTCTTGAACTTCTGATCCTCCTGCCTCTACCTCCTGAGAGTTGGGTTATAGGCATAAACCTGTGTGGCAGGGGTTTGACCCTAAAGATTTGTGAGTACTCTACCAACTAAACTATATTTCTTTTTCTGCTTCTTTGATCATTTAGGGCATCTGAATTACAAAACAGTGTAGCTTACGACTGTGTACAACTCCATGGAGGCTGGGGTTACATGTGGGAGTACCCGATTTCAAAGTAAGTATGGGGATTCTATAATGCTTCTTTTCTTTTCCCCACCCTCTCTCCTTCCCTCCCTAAAGGATGGGGGTCCTGTTGTATAACTCTGTCTGGCCACGTGGGCCTCAGGCGCACACAGCTCTGTCTGCCTCTGCCTCAAGTGCTAGTATTAATGGTGTGCATCGCCACCACACCAGCCTACAATGCCTTTGCTTCTTTATTTAAAAAATTGTTTTAAGTTAAAAAGATTTTTTTCCATACAATATATTCTAATTACAGTTTCCTTTTCTCTAACTCCTCCCAGTTCTTCCCCACCTTCTCACCACCCAAACCCATACCCTTTCTTTCTCGTTTTCCTTATAATGGAATCTTTTCTTTTCCTTCCTTCCTTCCTTCCTTCCTTCCTTCCTTCCTTCCTTCCCCCTCTCTCTGTCTCTCTTTTTCTTTCTTTCTTTCTTTCTTTCTTTCTTTCTTTCTTTCTTTCTTTCTTCTTTTTGTTATTTTGGTTTGTTTTTGTTTTTGTTTTTGAGGCAGGGCTTCTCTATGAGGCCCTCACTGTCCTAAAGCTCACTCTGTAGACCAAACTGGCCTTGAACTCACAGAGATCCACCCACCTCTGCCTCCCAAGTGCTGGAATTAAAGGCGTGCGCCACCACCATCTGGCTGATGCTTTTCTTAAGGACATGGAGAAGGGAAATTTACTGTACCTTATATGGCAAATATATAGGGAAAGTTTATCTAAAATCTACATTTTAATGAATGTATTTATGCAAATAGAATTGGCTTTATTTTATTAGCTTTTCATTAGGATTTTTAAAAAAGAAAATAAAGAGTTCAGCATACCTTTAAATATAATGCTTGGCTTTAAAAGTCATACCGTTAAAAAGTCATTCCTTAATATATTCACATTCCCCCTTTTTGTCTGTCTCTGACTCTCTGTCTCCAAGGCCCCACCACCACCACCCCACACACATACATACACTCCTATATTACATTTTTCTTATTGGTGTGATAAAATATCCTGAAAAAAGCAGCTGAAGGGAGAGAAGGATTGATTTCAGCTCACACTTTCAGGGTATACCCATCAGAGTGGGGATGTCATGGCTTTGGGAACTTCAGTGGGTATAGATAGAGGTTCTGTCCTACCTGGTTCCACAGCTGTGCAGTCCCAAATAAACACACAGAGACTTATATTAGTTATAAACTGTTTGGTCAATGGCTTAGGCTTCTTACTGGCTAGCTCTCTCTTATTTATTAACCCATGTATTGCCATGAGTCTGTGGCTGACTTGTAATGTTCTTGTATGTTACTCATTTGGTGGCTACATGGTGTCTCCCTCAAAACTCTCTCTCTGTTCCTCTTCCCAGCATTCCTAGTTTGGTAGCCCCATCTATACTTCCTGTTTGGCTACTGGTCAGTCAGCATTTGTTCACCAACCAATAAGAGAAGCGTACATTCACAGCATACAGAAGGACATCCCACATCAAGAGGGTGGTCAGGTTGGACCTGCAGTTAGGAAGCAGGGATGAAGGATGCTGCTGCTCATCTAATAGCTTCCTCTGTACATGGTCCAGGACCCAAGCCCAGGGAATGGTGCCACCTTACTTTGGAGTGAACCTCTCACCTCAGTTAGGCCAATTGAGACAGTCTCTCACAGGCATGCCCGGAGGCTGACCTAATCCAAATAACCCCTCAGGGTTACACCTGGAAGCTTGTGTCTTAGATGTTTCCAGATTTTGTCAAGTTGATAATCAGAATTGGCCATCATAGGAATTGAACTCAAGCTGTGCACATGTTGGACAAGCAATTTACCACTGACCACTGTCTGTAGCTACTTTTTAAAAAAAACAACAACAAAATAGCAACACAGAATGATTTGCTTGCGTAGTAGAAGGATTAATGTATCGTGCCTTAAGCATCTTGCTTGAAAAATAACAGTTTTTTTTCTGAATGCAATTTTTATCTTCAAGAAAAATAGAGGTGCTTCTTTTTAATGGGTTAGAAGCAGTAGGAGTTGCCTCTCTTCGCTTTCCCTTATCACCTTAGAAAATATTTTTCCTCATACTTAACAGTATACTCAGTTTATAAAAATTGCCCAAAGAAGTTTTTTTGATGAATACACATACACACCCAATGTAGTTCTGAATCTGAGAGTAGGAATGCTATAGGCTTCTAAAAACTTGTTCTAATTTTTTACCTGGATGTCTTTGTATAGCTAGAAAAATGATCAAACAAATGCCTAGTCACACTGTTAGCCCGATACATCGGAACTTCTAATAAGCCTAAGTGGAGGTATCCCATGTGTTTCTAATGTAATTATTGAGGGACACGAACTTTTTATTGCTGTTTGGTTAAGAACACAAGTTCCTGCGTAGGTATAACTTGCTAATTCCATAGTTACCCCACAGTTTAGAAGCTTTACTTACTGGGTGTCTGTAGTTTATAACTTTATAAAACTCAGCATCAATCAGGTATTTTTCTCTCTTTGAGAGAACATAGGCATGAAATTGTTTTTTTCCAAAAAAATTGTCTGCCTTAGACTTTTGTTTGTCCTTTCAGAACTTCTTCAGGTAGACCTTAGTCGTAGCAGAACTTCCTTTTTAGATCCTGTACAGTCATGAAATAGAAGTGAGGTTTTGAATTATGCTAGCCCAAAGGTTATCATCACTGGGATTTTTCCAGCACATGTTTGTTTTCCCAGCATTCATCCATCCTATGTATAAGAGAGCTTTGTGGGTGACATGATGATGGATGTTTATCTTTAAGCTTAAGCTCTTGCATTGGCTCAGTGTCTGTGTGGCTCAGTTTATGTTCTAAGGAAGGCATGCCAAATGAAGAGTGGTCCACCACCTTGATAAGGCTATAGTGTGCCATAAGCTGGGGTGGCTGCTTTCTCAGAGTCCACTGCTTTAAGTCAGTAGCAACATATCATGGGGATGACTTACAAGTTCTGCTTTCAGTTTTGGAGACTTGAACTCCTTTAAGAAATAATTACCACCATTCTTGCCAGTGCAAAGAGTATGTGGGTCTTTAGCTAGGAAGGTCTTTCTTTCTCCCAAAGATGTGGGAGATTCTGATAGCACAAAAGCCAATTGCACATTAGACAGCGTGTGGCTATATTGTACAGACTGATTGAAGAAATCATCCCATTTGAGACTCTCACACCTGCCCCAGATTAAGCTACATTATTCGAGTAGGGTTTGGGGGCAGAAAGTAATAGATAAGTTATTGAGTCTTGGCTTTATAGGTAAAAAGGGGTGTTTTGTTCCATTTTATAATTTTTAGATAGGTAATTCTTGGCCTGTGACTTGATTTTAGTTTTATTCATTGGGTTTAGCTTTAGAGCCTTGAAGATCTCTTAGCCATTCTAGGGTGGAGACGCTGAGACAGAAGACTTCACTGCAGTTAAACATTTTCTCTACTGCCTTTCTCTGTTAATCTTAGTAGAGTAAATTTAATTAGTAACTTATGAAAGGTTTGCTGGTCTGTCATTAAATATCCTGGCAGAACTCCTTTAATGGGAAAATAAATACCCAACCCAGCTCAAAAATGTCCTCGAAGTGGTGGGATTGCTCAGGTAGGCTGGAATGTTGGGAAAGTCTTGAGATGATACGAGTGCTTGGTTCTGTAGCAAACAACCAAATCTTCCCGGGGTTGGGGATGGATTTTATATATTTCAGATAGAACTGAGAGTTCTAATTCCCTTTAGAATGCAGTTCATTGCATAGGTAAATATTAAATGAGGGCCTACTTACTTATCTGCAAGGTACCCTGGTAAATGTGGAAAAATGTAAGTTCAAAGCTGGTCAGATGCCGAGAAATTAGCACATTTTGTCTTAGAAATTCAATAATTAAAGCCCCAATTTTATATTTGAGAAAAAAAGGTCTTTAAATCTTCTTGCCGTGAAAAGTCCAGAGCTCAGTAACTTGCCGCACAGGTCCAGGACAATGAAAGCATTGTGACCTAATAAAAGTTCTCTTGCCAAAGGGGCGAGACACCCACATTCTTGTTCCAGTTGGACAATTATCTGTTATGTCACCAGTAAATGGTAATCATTAATTAACAAATGCATCAGCTGTTCTAAATCTCCTTTTTAGCCTGCAAAGCAGTAATACGTATCCCGATAGACTCCAGAGGGCTAAAGGGAAAGGAGAAAGGGTGAAAACAGAAGGTAGCTACAACAGCTGTCAAAAGTGAATCTTAAGGCTGGGGATGTGTGGCTCAGTGGTGGAGCTCTCTCTCCCCTGTCAAGATCCTGAGTTCAGTCCCTGGATAGTCAAGGATTCTCTCCCAGCATCAAAATGAGAGCAATGTGAACTACCCGTTGTGTGTTTATGACTGTGTATGTCACTTAGGATCTTAATCCCAGCTGTGACAAGAGTAACTGTTAATCATTTCCCACCAGAATAAGCTACTTGTTAACTTTTGGGGGAAAAATAACTTTCTAAAATATCAAGTGGTGGTTGTAATGATGAAATTAAAAGGAATGTCTGGAAATAAGTAATATATTTTTTTCCTTGAGGTCAGTGGATTTCAACTTTCTGGGGAGACTAAAAGATAAGAAACTAAGATGTTCTATGCATTTCTAAACATAACCTTTTCAGAATGTTGTTATATAGACTCAATTTTATAAGATTATATTAGTGTACCTGTTATTTTTAATTATAATGTCTTATCTTAATGGCTTGTAGTATACCAACCTAGTATGAATGCTGTGCTAAAAAAACTAGTTTGAATAAGGAGCTTTTATTGCTCAGAGCTCTTTAGTTAAATAATTAGTAATTATCCAGAATTTAAAATCTCTATCTTGTTTATATGAATTCCACTCTCTTCTAATTTATCTAGAGCTTATGTGGACGCTAGGGTTCAGCCAATCTACGGTGGTACCAACGAAATAATGAGAGAGCTGATCGCAAGACAGATCGTCAGTGACAGCTAGACATCTGCCTACGTCCTGCAATCCTATTACATACAGCTAACCTGAATTCAACTCTACTTGGGATAAAATGGAACCTGGAAAGGGGGAATAGTAAAGCTGTTTTATGTATGCTTATTACAGGGAAAGGAAAGAAATATAATTACAAAGATTAACACGGGAAAGAAAAAAATTTGAACCCAAAGAGTCTAAAGTTAGGCTGTAAAAGGCTTAACTTTTTTTTTTTTTATACAGTGAACATGGAAGATTTTCTAACTTGAGAGCCTTAATGTCTCACTTGTCTTTCAAATTCTGAAGAGCATAAATTTCTTTGATCCTTAAAGTTGAGGCAGACATAATTTTATATCCTTATTAACATTAAATAATACTTGCAGACTTTGAAAAGGCAAAATAATTGTAACTCATAGAAAGTCAGTCATTTCAGGTCATTTTTGCTCCAAAGTCTCTAGAACATTGGTTCCCACCATCTTACCATCTACCCCTTGCTTTTTAAGCAATGAATAGAACCCTCTCTTCAGAAAAGAACAGACTGAACCATATACAGTACACAGAGAGGCAATTATGTATCGATTACAAATAAAGTAAAACTTTAAAACAAATCATGTGTTGGATGTGTTTGAAGCACTGAAAAAGGAAAACGTGTTCTGATGGGAGACCACATAGGCTGTTAGATAAGAGACATGGGCTTTCAGCAGATCCCATTACAGTTTAATTTCAATGGGAGAACTCAGTAATTCATCATCCTTAAATCCCAGATATTTGGTAGATATCAAAGCAGAGTCTTTTATTCTTCAACAGTGTGATTTATTATAGTTACTAAATGTTGTGTGTCCTCTATAAACTAGGCCCTTAAGAATGTTGGAAAGCAAGCCTGGAATAACCCTCCTACAAACTAGTAATAATAGAGTTTAAATATTCCAGCCAGGCTAAGTATAATAGAAGCAAGCATTTAAAGTATGAGTGTGGGAAAATCATATTTGAGACATACGTAATTATTATGAAAAATAAAATCATTAGTTTATAAACTGACATTTAAAAAAATTAATTCTATTTTATGTGCATTGGTGTTCTGTCTGCATGTGTGTCTGTGTGAGGGTGCCAGATTCCCTGGAACTGGAGTTATTACAATTGTTAGCTGCCATGTGGGTAATGGGAATTGAATCCGGGTCAGTCCTCTGAAAGCAGCTCTTAACCGCTGAGCCCCAAACTGACTGACATTTTAATAGTTTGATTTTTCTGCACATATCAATAATAGTGAAAAGTTTTAAAATGAAAATACATTCTTGTTCACCTTCAAAACACGTACATATGACTTCCTATAAATGGGTATAGTAGATGAGAGGTGGAATCTTCTGATATTCCTTCCTTCATAATTCACAGCTTTGGGTTCTTGAACAGAACCTGGCATGGTTGCCAGCTTAACTCCTTTCATATACACTTATTAACATGAAAAAGGGTTCAAAATTTTTTTTTTTTTTTGAGAAAACTATGTAGCGTTGGCTGCTCTGGAAAAGCTACATATAGATCAGGCTCGCCTGGAACTCATGGTGATCTGCTTGCCTCTGCCTCTCCTTCCAAATGCAGGGTTTAAAGGCATGTGCCACTTAGCCAGGCTCAGATTCTTCTTTAAAAGTAAGAATTGATTTTTCATTATGTCTGTGTGCTCGTGAATATGTGCATGGTAGTGGATTAGTGCAGGTACCCACAGAGACCAGAATAGGGTATTGGGTCCTCTGGAGCTAAAGTAGTGAGCTACCCAGGATGGGTGTTGGGAACTGAACCCTGATCCTCTGCAGAAACAGCAAATGCTCAACCACTAAGTCATCTTTCCAGTCCCTAAAGAAAATTCTTATTATTACATTTGCAACTTGTACCTTCCTCTTGCCCACAGGAACTTTAAAGGGTTTGCTAGAACTCTCTTAGCCCTTTTGGCCTCTTTAAGTCTGATGTAGAGGTGGACAGCCCTGGGTTTGACTGAGTTTTCTTCCTTTAGGGCATAGAACTTATAATCTTATTTAAAAAAAAAGATTCAGAATGTGCTCCTCGGTTTCGCATTTGGCGTAGATGTCTTCAACAGCTCTTCTTTGTGCTCTGTTTGTGTGGCTTCGAGTAGTGTCCCCCAGGGAGGAAATTTATCATCGGAGTCCCACGCAGTGCTGAGTGTGCAAGAAACAATAAATAGTAACAAAGCTCAAAAGAACAAGCTGGGCAAGCAGAAGGAAGCATTGTTTTGTAAATACTAATGAGGATTTTAAAGGCTTGGTTAATTTTGTTTGGAGGCTGAGATTTGTAGGATCAAAATTACTGCTTTAAAATTCCCCCTTTCTCTTATTTCCTGATGGGGTGACATTGAAAACTGCTTTGAGTTGCTATTTTAAAATCTAACTGCAAATCTTTACTAACCTAGTAATCTTAGTAGTCTATTGCTGAAAGTATACAATTTCTAAATTTTTTCCATGTCAGTGTTATTTTTGGAACATACAGCATTTATTTATTTGGAGTCATTGGAAAAGTCTGACATTGAGATTGAAACCAACTGCAGGTCTGTGTCTACTGCTTTATAATAAATGTTCAAAAATACTATTTTTTAAATTTTTGTTTTCAAGAAAGATTTCTGGAGAGCTACAAATATACTAAAAACAGAGCATAGTAAATCTCCAGCTTATATTTGCAGGCATTATTATAGACATTTTCCCCCTCGAGACTTCTAGGGCAAGTCCCAGATTTCATGTTATTTCATACACATATGTACTCCAGAATGCATATGTAACACATGAAAATGTTTTGTATTTTATATCTAACCAGAATGCTAGTATCATACTGCAGAAACTTAAATTACACATGTAATTCTAGGATCATTTAAATTTACCCTGATTATGTAAAAAAATGCTTTTTTGTTAGTTTAATAAATTAGGTTCTAAGCAAGACCTACAAATTCTGTTTGGGAAATGAAGGCATGGCTTAGTGGTTAAGAACAGGTATTGTCTCCAAGAGGACCAGAGTTACAATCTCAGCATCCAAGTCAGATGGCTCACAACTGCTTATAACTCTAGCTCTAGGGGATCCAACACTATCCTGTGGTCTACACTGGTACCCATGTGTATAACACACACACACACACACCTTTAAGATTTCAATTTGATTGTATCAACTCTTAAATTTCTTATATTAGTGTTACCCTATCTTCCCCCCAATCTCTTTAAAAAATAATGTATATTTTTCCTTTTATTGTATATACTGTAAAATTGCTTTTTACAACTCTCAGAATTTTAGCATATATAGATATATTAGTTCAGTTCTCAGAGATTCAAGCAGCTTCAACTACAACCAGGATACAGAACAGTTTCAGCCCCCACCCCCAATGTCCCTTGTGCTCTTCATAGTCACAGCTTACCTTTAGTCCCTGGCACCCACTGATCTGGTCCTTGTCATCACAGTTCTGTCATTTTGAGACAATGATATAAACGGAATTACACAGAATGTAATCTTTCGAGAATGTCTTAGAAAACTGCATTTCAGATTCATCCATTTTGCGTGACTCGGTAGCTTTCTCCTCTTTGGTGTTAAGCAGAATCTCCATAGGGTATACCACAGTTTGTTTATTATTCATCCCCTTTGCCAGGAGATCTTGGTTCTGGTTAAAGTTAAATCTAGCTTCTTGTTAAGGTTAAATTCCCAGGAGGGAACTGTTGAATTGCATTTATAAAAACACTGCAAACTGTTTTTCCAGAGATCAGTACCTTTTACCATCTAACCATTCACTTAAAGAGTTCCAATTGCTCTAAATTTTCACCTCTTTATGTTATAAAAGTCATACATACTAATGTCTCATTAAAATTTTGATTGAATTTTATATGTACATGGGTGTTTGGTCTGCATATATGTCCGTGAACCATGTGTGAGCCTGGTGGGCATTGAGGCCATAAGAAGGCATTGGATTTCCTAGAGTGGTTGTGAGCTGCCATGAGGGCGCTGGGAACCAAATCTAGTTTGTCTGTAAGAGCAGCAACTGCTGTTAACAACTGATGTCTCATGGTTCTCATGTATCATTTATCCCTGATCCTACTGATGTCAGGACAGCTTTTCTTATGTTCATCTTCCACCTGTTTTCTTTGATGAGTTTTCTCAAGTCTTTTGCCCATTTGGGGGGTGGGGTGGGGTGGGTAGGTGTTTTCTTAATGTTGAGCTTAGAGAGTTTCTCTATTTTAGGTTTTGGCAAAACCAAGCGTGTGTGTGTGTGGTGTGTGTGTGTGTGTGTGTGTGTGTGTGTGTGTGTGTGTGTGTGTGTGTGTGTGTGTCTATGTGTTAATAGTGGGTATTTTTAGATTCAGATTGTTGATAGCACAGAAAGAAGAGTAGCCAAAAGTACTTAAAAGTGTCCTTAATGCAGAGTGAACTGAAACCAATGAGGTCGGATGACCCTGTTGCTGAAGAGCCCATTCCCTGACACTGCTAAGCACTTTATAGGTAGGCCTGAAGGGTGATGAGGCAGGAAGTCTTCACAAGCACTACTGAGACAATGAGAAACTGTCTCCTTGGTGTGTGTGGGGGGTGGGGGTGGGGTCGGCATGAGGAACTGCACTGGTAGCAGGACCTCACAAGCTTCCCTTGCTCTGTTCCAGGGGAATCACAGGACATTCTGCTAACCCAGCTGCTGCTCAGGCTTGGCTTAGATGGCTTGTGTGGAAACATGCCAGGTCTCTGAGTGCGGGCTCATGCTGTTCCCTGTAGAGGATCCCGTCCGATGTGATTTCTAGCCAGCCTTTTCATTTTGTCACCATTTAGTTAACACTAAAAGTTCTTAATGTTTGAATTCTGTTCATTTTTTTCTTTCATACATCCTATATTTGCTATCATGTCTAAAAAATCTTTACTGAAAACCTAGGCCACTCACTTTTTCTGTATTTTTCTTAGATTTTTATATTTTTATTAATTATTTAGATCTGTGCTCATTCAGTGATCTTATATAAGGTGTGAGCTTTATCTTCTAACATTTTTTTCAGCCTATGTTTAAGTGTTCCAATGTGAACTGTTGAAAGAGTGTCTTTTATGACGGAACTGCTTCTTGCACCTTGGTTCCTAACCAACTGACCATGTTTATCTGGGTCTGTTTGTGGGCCCTGTTCTGTTGCAGTGACCTGTGACTGTCCTTCCTTTGCTGCAATCCTGAGTTTGGTAGCTTTTAGACAGTTTTAAAATTGGTTGGTGGGATTTTCCTAGCTTTGTTTTTTTCAAAATTGCTTTGGCTACTCTAATTCTTTTTAAACCCTATTTACATATTTAGTGTTTTTATCTATGTCTCATAAAAATAATTCTGCAGAGCCTTTGTTTGGGGTAAGCTAGGTCTCCAGATTAGTGTAAAGAGGAGTGTCACCTGCTGGGATCTCCCAGGGAATGAATAAGGGGTCTGTTCATTTAGACTTTCTTTATTCAGCTGCTTTTAGATTTCCTCACTAAAGTGCCATGTACATGTTCTGTATGCTTATATGTAAACACCTTTTTGGAGAAACTACAAATTGCATTGCTGTTTAATTCTGGTTTATAGTTATTTATTACCAAGGTAATTATCTTGTATCCTATGGCTTGTTGAACTTAATCC